GGAGAATCTTCATTCTTCTAGACAGTTAAGGAAATGGTAATCGTTTCTCTTGAAATCTGCAGGGCCTCGACTGACCTTAGTGTCAATGGCCAGGTGGCACATATTGGAAAAAGCAGGTTCTGGTCATCTTGGGGGACCCATCTGAACATTTTGGGGAGGCCTAGCCTTTACTCCAGGACAGTGTTCCCCTGCTTGTGAGACTCTATACTCCCCCATGGATTGTTTTCCCTGGAATAAAGGACATCAAACCCATCACTAAATTATGTCTTTTTTTTTTCCTTTATCATTTGATAACACCGAAAAGAGAAGGGCAAGAAATAACTCATCAGATTGTACTGAGACATCACTAACTGTCCTCTCCCCGGATATTTGGGAAGAAATCTGGGGACAGAGGGAACTTATATGCAGCGGTGCCATTAGCTTGATAGGCCTGGGAAGAGGCACTTGTCTCTTTATCTAATCAGGCTTGGTTGTTACTTTACAGGACTATGACCAATCATGTTAAGGAAAATTAACCAAAATATGCATGTTTGGCAGACAATGGACTGAATGGCCTTTTATAATCTCCCAAAGCATTGTCTGTCAAGCTCGCCTATGCTTTGTTTACTGTTCCATGGGACTGAAATTTTTGGTTGACTTACTATTGACTGGGACGGAGATGCAATAGAGTATATGTTCACTTGCAGATGAATTTTTGATAAGTTCATTTGTTGATAAAAAGTTGGTAAGTTGAGAATGATTTGTATCAGGTTGGGTTGCAAATGAACCCCATTCAATAGAAAAGAAAACATTATAGGTTATGGTTTTATTGCTCTGTAGGCCCTTAACCAGCTTTGTATCTAACTTTATCTTCTTATTCTACCATTATTTTCCCCACTGAGTACACATTTAGTATACATCATGATTCTTTAGAAAAATAATGCTGTGGGCTGAGTGTTTTTCTAAAACAAGCTACCACCTTCAAGAAAGGGAGAACAAAATGCATCTGAAGCATCCAACAATTCTGTCCCCACTGTTACCTACTCAGAGCTCGGGGTTGGCTCTCCACACCATTGCCAAAAAAGTGGCAGGAGCCCACTCCATTGGTATTAAGCTGCAAGGAGCCACAGCAGTAACTTCCTCATCCTATTGTCCTATCAGGGAGGGTCATCTGTTGTAAGGGAAGGTTAGCCAAGGGGAGGGGTGGAGGGGGAATGGCCAAGAATGACTCATGGGAAGGGCTGGAAGACTGGGGGACAGAGGAAGCCTTACTGAGAGGAGCCTCTGAAGGTCTAAACTGAGTTTCATCTCTTTATCCAGTGATAGACTGAGTTAGTAAAATTTGTGGCTTGTGCTGGCTGAAGAAATGCTTACCCACTAGCACATGCCCCCCGCAAGTCCCCTAGTGCAGGGACTTGGCCTGTGTTCACCGCTCTGTCTCTAGGAAAGTCAGAAAAAAGATGTTAAGGGAAGTTGTATCTATACTGCAGACCAGGTTTGATGAGGACTGGTGACAAAGGCCCATGAAGGAACTTTCTGGAATAATGGAAATGTTCTGTATCAAGATGAAGGTGGTGGGCCCGATGTAGGTAAACATTTGTCAAAACCCACCAACTATGTCCTTAAAATGGTGCATTTTATTGTGTATAAATTACTAGTCAGGACTGCCTGTATTTTTAATATAGTCTATGATTCATTCTAAGCCATGTCTGGTTGAGAGGTCAGATCTCACTCTCCTGTCATTTTCAGAGTTTCTATTTGAAAAGCAATTACTTATAAACACAAATACTTTGGGACACCCAGTAGAGGCAGAAGCTTTTCCTTAATCAGCTTTAAGAATAAAACAGATTCATAATTTGGAATTGTCTGACTAATTTCCCTTCATCTCAGCTGGCAAAGAACAAAGAAAGAATTTTGAAAAATTAGAATTAGGATTGCTAACGATTTTCTAGTAATCCACCTATTCAGTTTACAGATGAGGAAACTGAGGCCCAGCCGAAGAGAGAATAAATGGAAAATGCGTTCTGCAGAGATTATCTTTTTCAGTCAGGGGTTAGATCTTTCCAGTATTCTACCTCATTTCCTCTTGAAAGGCTACCGGGTGATTTCTTTGCAAATAACACTCTGAGAAACACTGATGTCACAGACACTTCTAGTAATGAAGATTAAAAAGCCATGTACCTTTTAAAAAAGGTCTAGTGTCTAATTACTCCAATATATCCAGGACGCAGTTGTAGTTTCAATTATGGTTTCCTTAAATAACATGGATAATAAGCTCCTTTTGCGATAACAAAATCTTTGGCATTAAAAATCTATCTATTTTCTCCAGACCAGGGACATCAATTTTTTTTTTTAAGATAAAAAATTTATACTTGCTACAGATGGGGCAACAACAGCCTGCTTGCACAAGCTGGTCCAGATGTTTCTATTTGTCTTCAGATCCTTACCAAGGGTTGAGCAATAATCAAACATGGCAGGGCCTCCCCAGTCACGCAGTGGATTTATCACAGCACTGTGAAGCTGTCCACAGCCTCTGCAGCATGGGTTTGATTCCCGGCCGGCCAGGGAGAGACCCACATGGCACAACAGACCTCTCCTTGTCATGCCCACTGCTCCCCTCAACAGTGCTTTCAGTCCATCTGCCTGTTCTGCTCCCCACGCTGTCTCTGGTGAATCCTTTCACCCTCCTGCACCTCTGGCCTGCACCCCAGCTCTTGTATAAATAAAAAATAAATCTTTAAAAAAAATAATCAAACATGGCAGCACATCTGCTTTGGCCCGATAAAGAATTTTAGTGCATGCAAAGATATACAAAGAACTCACATGACTCAACAAAAACAAAATAAATAATCCAGCCAAGAAATGGGCAGGAGAACTTAAAAGACATTTCTCCAAAGAGGAAATGCAAATGGCCAACAGGTATATGAAAAAATGTTCAACATCCCTTATCATCAGGGAAATGCAAATCAAAACCACACTGAGATACCACCTTACACCAGTAAGAATGGCACATATCAAAAATACAAGCAACAACAAATGTTGGCAAGGATGTGGTGAAAAAGGAACTCTCCTACATTGCTAGTGGGAGTGCAAACTGGTCCAACCACTATGGAAAGTTCTCTGGAGCTTCCTCAGTTTACTAAAAATGGAGCTACCATACAACCCGGCAATTCCACTCCTAGGATCTACCCAAAGGACACAAAAAACATTGATTCAAAAGAACACCTGTACCCCTATGTTTATTGCAGCACTATTTACAATAGGTAAAACCTGGAAACAACCCAAATGCCCAAAAATAGATGACTGGATCAAGAAGATGTGGTACATATACACAAAGGAATATTATTCAGCAATCAAAAAAGATAAACCCATGCCATTTGCAGCAACATGGATGGAACTAGAAGGCATTATGCTCAGTGAAATAAGCCAGAAGGAAAAAGAAAAACACCAGATGGTTTCACTTATAGCAGGAATATAGGGGAACCAAATAAAACATCAGTGTAAAAAAATAATAACAGTACAAAACACAACAAAGCAAAAATGGACAATTATAAATCAGAGACATCCTGCAGGGGAGGAGGAGGGAGAAGGATCAGAGGAGGGAGGGAGGAGCACAGGGGACTGAGGTGATGGTGCACAGGTGCATTGGGGAAGGAAACTTTATGGGGACTACACCTGAGGGGGTGGGGAGAAGCAAATATTGTTTAAAAAAAATAAATTAAAAAAAAAACTATGGGCTTTCAAATCTGACACAGATTTGGTTTCCAGCTCTGTGCCCACTATGCATTTGAACTTGTATTTAAAAATAAGGAAAAAAATTTTTAAAAAATGATGTAAAAAAATTAAAATACAATACAAAAAAAAAAGGTCTGCAAAAGATATTCATAGAAAAATTTTAAGACAAAAACTCAAACACCATAAATGTTATATACATAAATGTATGGTATTTCTATGCAATAAAATATTTTGTACTCCTAAGAAGTTTAAATATAGGACCTCCCTGGTGGTGCAAGGGGTTAAGCACAGCACTATGAAGCAATCCGCAGCCTCTGCAGCAGAGTTCAATCCCTGTCTGAACAGCCACTCAAGATGCCAGCTAAGTGAAGACATGAGGAAAGGGGAAGGGAGTCAATAAGCTTTGTCTCCTCTGTTGGTCAAATTCTTCTAGCAAATTTCCACGAAAGGGCTATTGTCCCAGGGGACCATTAAATAAAGGACTGATGGTGCTGAGGGGTCACCTCAATCCCAGACATGTTCAAAGGGTTGTCCCCAAATGACAGCAAAAAATTCCCACCCAAAAATCCACCAAAGACCCCAATCCTTCTAGATCTATCTCATTTAAGAAGTAAGCTCTCTTCCCAGGGAAGCTCTCTTCCCAAGTCTTCCTTCCACTTAATCTCTCAGGGGTAAATCATGATCGAAGCCCATCTTGAGGCATTTTTTTAAAAAGATTTATTTATTTATGCATAAAGAGCTGGGGTACAGGCCAGAGATGCCAGGGGTGAGAGGATTCACCAGAGACAGAGCGGGGAACAGAACAGGCAGACTGACTGAAACACACCACTGAGGGGAGCAGCAGGCGAGACAGGAGAGGTCTGCTGCGCCATGTGGGTTGCTCCCTGGCCGGCTGGGGATCGAACTTGTGCTGCAGAGGCTGCGGATTGCTTCATAGTGCGCTCTTAACCCCTTGCGCCATCAGGGAGGCCCTTGAGGCATATTTTTAAACTAATGTCCCATATCTCCATTCTGTCTCCTACTTCCAAGATCCGCCTTTAACTGTGTTTTAAACAGACCAGGCTAAGGACAACTGAGACAAAAGCTGCGTAGGCCTGAGCGACCTCCAGGCCTACGGGAGAGTTGAGGGAGAGCACAGGTCTGGAGGGGGTGGCTCCAGGGGCGGGGGGCGGGGTGCACAAGGCTCCCCGGGAGGGTGGGGGTGGTGGCCGTTGGAGAGGGTGCGGATGGGAGGGCGTTAGTTCAGTTGGCTGACCGTTAGTCTGTCTCGAGATGGTGAGCCCAGCCCTCCTCCCCGCTCCACCAGGCGCACACAGCTGAGAACCGCGCCACGCTAGGGTGGAGCCGCGCCCGGGTCCCTGAGCCTGACCAAGCCCGGCCCCGAAGGAGCCTCCACACAGGCTTCCAGGCCGCGGTGAGGAGCCTTGGCCTCCAGTCAGGGCGCACAAGCTCCTAAAACGGACTTGAGGCCTCTGGCGCGAGAGTGAAGCACCTTCAGGCGCCCAGGCGGAGTAGGCGCCTGTGGAGTGAGAGCCGTTTGTCCCTGAGACAGTGCCCAGGTCTCAGCGAGTGAGTTTCTGGTTAATAACGTCACTGTTGAGGGCAAAAGAGGTTGGTGCTCTCAGACATCCCACATTATGGTTGGGGCCCGCCTTTTCTTTTGGAAACAGGCACTTCCCCCTCAGGTCCTCCCACAGAGAATGCGCGAGGCTGAAAGTGCTGGCAGTGGCCAACAGCTGCGAGGCCATCCCATGGGGCCCTCGTTCAACATAAACCGCTTCCCTGTTGCTCCAGCTGACGTGCCCGGGCCAGAAGTAAAGTTTCCAGGCGCTTTTCTGTTCCTCCCCTGTAAGCTCACAGTTGCCTCAGGTCTCCTGCTTCTTCGGAAACATTAGTTTTCCTCAGTGGTCCACTCACTCTACTTCAGACAAGAGTTGAGCTGTTACCTGACCTCTTAAATCTCATGTGTCTGTTAAATCTCCTTATGTGTCTGTTTTTATCTCCTGACAGGCCTGTGCATTTCTATCTTGGTGACTGCTCCAAGAAGCCAAGGTGCGGTCTTGGGACTAGAGTATCATAAAGCCTGCAGGGACCTGGCACCCACCATGGAGCCTTTACCCTAGTGTCTTCCTTCTGGCACACGAAGGTACGGGAAACTTGTCCATCTGTCACTGCTGCTCTAGTCCCCACTGCCATGGGCTTCGAACTCCATTCCTGGGGGTGTATGTCCACCTCCTGTTCTTTCTGACTCCTCCCTCAACTCCTTTGTCCAATCCTGGGCCCCCCCACCATCACCAGCTCCATTTCTCTGGTGCAGTACTTGTACCTCCCCAAATCTTTCCTCTTGGCCAGATGGCTATAAGCCAAGGTGTGCTCAAGGGGCAGGGAATTCCCGAGGGCGGGGGTGAACTTGGCCTGCCCTTTTTCCTGTCTCCTACCTTCCTCTGTCCAGTGTTGTTTCCCTCTGATGGTCTTAGCTCTTCCCTCTTCCTGAAGTGATCAGATCTTCATTCTCTCAGTTCACCTTCTCTGTTCTCTGCACCCTCCTGCTCCCCTCAACCTGCCAGTTCCCCCATCCACGAGCAAGTGCTTTTTGTATGCCATGCCTGCCATGTGCTGGTTCTCATCCTTGACTCCTTTAAAAGTTTCTTTGCAGCCCTGTGGAGGTTAAATATATTTCCCCTTTTGTATGAGCTGTGCAAGGTCACAGAGCAACTAGAGTTGGAGCTCTCATCAGGAGCTTCACCCGCATCTCAGCTCTGTGTGCTAAAACCTTTTTTCCTTGATGTGGTCTCACTTTAATTTCTCCTTTCATAGGATTATATACTCAGGAGCTGACATCATGGCCAGAACCTGACCCCCTGTGGACCGCCTGTCTGTGCCCTGTACCCAAGGCTTCCAGGAACAAAATTGAAGTGACTGCTCTGTCACCTGAGGGAGACTGCTTAAGAGCAGGGCCACGGGGCACCTCAGTAGAAGGTGCTAACAGACACTCATAGAACTTGGACATGAGTTAAGTGATGTGGGGGCGTCTCAAGGAAGCAGGGGTTTGCTCTGGATTGGATGCTGTCAGGAAGCAGGATCAATTCTGTGATCAAGTGTTTCCACTTTTACGTACGTGAGGCGAAGGTAGCAGAGCTAAAGCCGTGGTTGGCAGAGACAGGACACTCGTGTTAACTGGGGCTGAGATCTGGTTGGGTGCTTCCTATGGTTGGTGCAGTGGCCTGGTTTTTGTCGGTGCTCACACGATTACACGATGGTCTTGTTCTGTCAGACCGCGTCTGTTGTTGGTGATCTGTGAGACTACCCTGCGCAGCAGGAGAGCATTGCAGCCTAGCTGTGGGCGCCTGGCAGTCCAGAGCCTGCTACCAGGAACTACTTTCTCTTTCTCACTATAAAGGCAAAGCTTTGCCCATTCTGTTTCCCAGTCATGTATCTTCATGGTGGGATAAAGATCTTGAGGAAGAGAAGAAAAGGGGATGGAGAATAAGAGAAGGAGGGATTTGCTTGGGGAAGGGGTCCTAGAGTGTCTCAGCATAAAGGATGCACGTCTCTGTCACCCGAATAGGGCCAGGAAGACAGATCAAATGGGATTCCAAAGCTGTGTTGGGCAGGGGGCGGGGGGAGGGGAAGTTAGGATAACTGGTATGTGGATATCTTCTGAATTATTGGAGGACAATTTGAGTACAGGGGTGGGGAAGCCAATACAATGTGGCCCTTTGCAGTACTGACAGTCCTCCCTTCAAAATGCAGCCCGCTCCTAAGAAACATGAGTGGGGCAATTGTGCACCCCAATTTTCTGGCACCTCCCTGATGGGAAAGACCTTGGACACATAGGTTTGCTATATATTGTTTCATACAATTATTTTACTGAAGGGACTATGTTGCTTTTCTGGTCCAATGAGAAGCAAACAGCAAATTGGGATTAGAAGCAAAAGAGACCTACTGAGTGAACCCCTGTGAAGAATCAAGGGTTCAAGAAAGTAGGCATAGGCAGAGAGCCCCCTGGGACACAGCCCGCCCCTCTATAGAGAGGGAAGGAAGGACTGGGTAGGAAGAACCTCAGACCGCAGCACCGTTCTGAGAAAATCTTGGCCAAGCCATTGGGGAGTCCTCAAGCTCAGCTCCTCCATAAAGGAGCCACCTCTTTGGGCAGGAATGCCTTGGCCCCTGCTGTGCTCTTGCACAGAGGCAGCCAGGGGATAGCCGGGCAGCTGAGGCTGTCAGTCAACTCTGCTCCTGGGCAGGTTCTGTTAGAGTGATCTGAGTCTCATCCTGCACAGTGGTCATACGCTGCTTCTGGCGCCAGTGGCATGTTTTTAGACGCATTGAGCCAGTTCAAGTCATCCCTGAAGCAGAGGCCATGATGGGATTAGACATGCAAGAGAGTTAAGCGAAATGCCTGTGAAGCATAAAAGGGGAAAGAGAGCAGGAAAAAGCTCTACACAAATGTGATGTATGCTATATACTGCTGGCAAATAAACTCATGGGAGAGTTTAAAGAAAAATGTCTTTAAGTCATTTGAAATGTTTGTTTGGGAACTATGGTTTCTTTGCATCAAGTGAGACAATCTGCAACATCATGAAGTCTGCCTCGACTGTTATTTGCACAACTCCTTTCTGCAAGGGGCTCTGCGCTCCACTGTAGCTCCATTCTCCACGGGGTTGGGTTTTGTCTTTTTTTTTTGCTTCTGCCCCCAACTGGGAAACACTTAGCAATGTCAGCAGACATTGACTATCACAGCTAAGCCGGATATTCCTGGCATCTTGTAGTTCAGGAATGCTGCTAAACGGACTACAGACATATAGAACCCCTAAAACAGGAGGACCCAACCCCAAATGTCCACAGCGCCTCGGCGAGCAACTGGCTGCCCATCCTCCCTGTCCTCTTGCTGGGAAACCAGCGGGTTGGGTGACTTAGAGGGGCTTAGAGAAAGCCCCAGGGACTGGGCCTCCTGGATGGAGAAGCTCATCCCTGAACCAGTCCCAGAGCAGCACAGGCACAGGTAACCCTCTAATAGCAGGTGCTTCAGAGAAAGCCAGCCTTCCCCGGGAGGGCAGCAGAGTCTTCTGTCCTAAATAGTCAGTTTTTGTTTTAATAAATGCCCCAAGCCCCCCATAGATTTCCAGAGATGTAATTGAAACACACGAAACTCCTTTATATATGTTACAGAAATGCTCGTGTCAGAAAGGAAAATGCTTTGAAACTTGATCCTAAGCGCTGTGCTTTATATGCAGAATTATCTGAGAGCTGTACCCACGCCTGCCCGACATTCTGTCAGTTGGATTTAGAATATAATTTGAAACTTCCCCGGCCCATCTTGCTTAAAAATCTGAGGGTTTTTTTTTTTTTTGGGGGGGGTCACTAGGAATATTTCTTATAAATAATCACTGGCTGAAAAACATTCTTTCCTCCTCCCTGCTGGCCTCTATCTCCAGCCAAATGTCCCAGCCAAAATGACCGGTAGCACCACGTAAATTCCAGTGCGCAGGGGAGCTTAGGAGGAGCCCTGCATTGAGAAACTGGAAGCCTAGATTGCCCTCTGTTCCCTTAGTCTTTACTAAGGCAATGTGCTGGCACTCAGCATCAGAGATGCGGGGGACTTTTGCTGTTTCACTGTCATCTTTACATCTGTGCCTTGCAGTGACAGTCAAATGCACTTGTGCCCCCGCTCAGACTCCACCCACCTCCGCCTGCTATATGCCCAGGGAGTCTGACCAACTTGCCCCAGGGAAGGACTGTGAAGTGAGGAGGGTGGGCAGAGACAGGGGTTAGCTTATTTCTCCCAGTGCCCTCTGTCCCCTGGCTGCATTGTGGCAGCGTGCCTCCACCCCGAAGCTCCTTGTGTGTGTACCTGCTCTGAGGCTGCCACGGGCTCTTTGCTCCCTGACCTTTCTGCCCTGGGCCAGGGTGGTGGGTGGGAGAGTGGGGGTACTCCCTGCCACTGCTAAGCTCTAAATGCACCACTACACCTTGCTCATTTGCTGATTGTGCTCATGCCTCTGTAAATACCAGGGTGCTCTTTTGTCCAGTGGCTTGGGGACTGTCAAAACCACCGTGCAAGTTGAAACTGGGAAACAATAATTAATGGGGAAGGATATGATTATTCTGCGGCCTTTCAAAATGTTTGTTAAAACACAAAAACCCTCTCGTTGGTAGGACAAAAAGGTAGCAAAAATTACTCTGAAATGCACTGATTTGCAACATGATAAAGTAAAAGTCGGGGCTTCCCTGGCGGTGTAGGGGGTTGCAACGCAAACTATGAAACAGTCCACAGCCTCTGCAGCATGAGTTTGATCCCCAGCCAGTAAGGGAACAACACACATGGCACAGCAGACCTCTACTGACTCACCCGCTGCTCCCCTCAGCAGTGTATTTCAGTCAGTCTGCCTGTTCTGCTCCCCACTCTGTCTCTCACCCGCTCTCACCCCATCACATCTCTGTACCCCACCTCTTGTATGCATAAATAAACCTTTAAAAAAAAAAGCGTAAAAGTCTAGAAGTCTTGAGGAAGAGTAATTTGAATAGTGCTTGCCTGCTCTCCCAGAAAGTGGAAAGAAGAAGGTTGGCAGAGTGCTGCCAGGGTTTGCCAAGAAGTGCCCTGTGGCTTGACTCAGGGCCAGCAATGTCCTACCATCCAGGAACAGGCAGGCAGCAAGGCACCAGGGGTGTCTCACCCTCAGGCCCAGGTCCTTCAAGAAGAGGGCTGGCCTGGGAGATGCCTGACCCTAAGCCCTGCTAGAGCTAGGAATTTGTTGAAAAGAAAGTAGGACTTGATCTCACTGCCCAGTTGAAAATAAGCTTCTGCTACTGAAAGACCCTTGGCAGTGAGTTCTGGGGAGTCAGAGGGGGGAATCATCATAGCTTCTTTAAGATCTCTTCATTCTCCTGCCTCCTGGCTTCTAGTTCCCTCCCACATTTGAGCTTTCAGTCTGAAACGGCTCCACAGCAGTAACTGCTAGTAACCTACTGTTTTACAACCATCCCAGGCCTGGTAGGCTCACTATCAGTTCTAGCAATTTGAAGGAGAATTTTTGAGCCCTTGGCATTATTTTCACAGGCTTTAATGGTTTGTGAGGGAAACAAGCCAGTAGGGAGGGAGCAACATGAGCCCCTGAGAATCTCTATAAGCTCTTTTCTCTGAGTTTTCTCAGGCCTTCTCTCCTGGCCTCCTTTCATGGCCTATTCCTCTTGTAGCTGTCTCTGAGTGACGCTGCCCTTATATCCCTGCCCTCTAGGCACAGGCATGCATGCTTGCACATGCACACACACCGTGCTCAGGTGTCCATAGTCAGGCAGGCGCACCCCACACCCATGCGCCCTCTACGTTAACAAGATCCAGGCTGCAGGTAATAGCTACAGAGGCCAAAAGAAGCCTGACCAACTTCATTTGCCCCACACCTACTATTTCCCCATCTAAGAAATTCAATTTTATTTGGGGTGTCAAGGTACCTACCTCAAGTGTTGTACTTCCCAGCCTTCCTTGCAGATAGGCAGGTGACAAAGTTTTGGCCTCTGAAATATAAGGAAGAGAGCAGACTCTTTAAAGGAAGCTGACTGAAACTTTCATGCCCCTTCACCTTGATGTCTGGGAGGTGGATAATAAAGACTGGAGCTCCCACAGCCATTAGGACCAAGACGGAAAGCTCACACTCGAAGAGTGGTAAAATAAAAGGAAACTTCATCCCCTGTGACCATGGAGATGTCATACCGGCATCGAACTACCCACTTCCAGAATTCTGTCTTGCTTAAGGCCCTATAATATTTTCCATTATATGCAACCAAATCTAACCCTAATTGATAAATATTTCTACTTTCTACTGGAATTGTTGTCCTTCATATCTAACCTTTCATTCCTGTCAAAATCAATATAAAACAGTAACCAATCTGATTGTAGTCAGTCCTGATTCACGGGCATGGTACCATCACTCAGTGGTCAGGATGGTAGGAAATTCAGACTGAGGCAGACCATTGCAGGAGGTATTTTGGGGCTGTTGGGTAACTATCTTTACCTAAGCCAATAGTTCTCAAACATTCTAGCTTGGAATCACCTGGAAAGCTTTCAGTGGGGCCTGGTCCCATTTCCCAGGAGTTTCTGATTTAATTGGCCCAAAACCCTGGGTTTTGAAAAAGTACTTCAAATGATGCCAATGTCTGGCCTCACCTCAATTTGACCTTTAGAGTCGACTACGTTGCCAGGCTGTCTTCCTAAGAAAATCACTTTCCAGTTAAACTCACTGTGGTTTTTCCCGTGCAGGCAAAAGTCGTGGCTTTTCTCTTTTATAAACATAGTCTTAATTTCAAAGCTTTTTTGCACAGAACCACTGGCTTGGTGGTTAACTGAGCACCTAGCAGTGGGTTAGAGGCTTGACATACACCTGGTATTCTTGATAGTGATATGGGAGCGGCGTTATGCCCTCCCGACAGACCGAGCAGCAGCTTCAGGGAGTAATCCTAACCTGGTGTAGGGTAAGGTAAAAGTATCAGGCTTTTCTGCCCTCCCACCATTAGGATAGATGACAGAACCCTGCGGTCCTGAATGCATGCCTGATGGCGGGCACCTGGAGTAGGGTGTGGGCATAGGTAGATGGGATTCACCTGGGCTGAGACTGGGCTTTTAGGGGCGGCGTTGCAGGGACGCCAGCAGAAGCCGAGAAAGAAGCAGAGAAGCAGAACAGAAGCTGAAAGAGAGAGAAGGCCGGAGAGCCCAGATAGAATGAAGACTTCTGGGGGCTGAGAGGCCTGCTAGCCTCCTGGCCCCCCCAGCACTCCTGCCTGCTGTGTACCTGGTAAATCTAAATAAAAAGCCTGCAAAAGCCACCGAGGGCTCCAGGACTCCTCCTTTACCCGGTCTGCTGGATCAGAAAACCTGCTCAGTGTCCATCCTGCTCCTACACCTGGTCACCACGGACCCCAAGGGATATCCACTCTCACCTCCTAGCACAATCCTCTCATCACCCCAGAAGGTTGAATTGGTTTGTGATAGTGGCTGAGAGCTTCACAGAGACGGAGTCCAGGCCCCTCCTCATGTGGCCTGGAATAATTCAGAGGGGATTTGGCAGCGATGATGATAACCACAGACAAGCCCGCTTGAGGCTGACACAAGTGCTAAGAAATTAGTCTTCGTCTGCGTCTTGAGCTGGGCTCAGGTGCTCAGTTCTCCCACTTCAAGTTGTGCAGTTGCAGACACCACAGCGCAGAGATTGCATTTCCCCTCGGCCACAGGATTAGAAAGTGATGGAGCTGGAATCTGGGTCGGGACAATGAGTAACTGGGACATGGATTAAGGTTTTCCTTGTTAAGCTTGATAATTAGTTGGAAGAAATCCTAATTTCCCGACTTGTCTTTGGCCTTGCTATTTGACTTGCATGTCCCCCTGCAAAAAAATAAAAATAATAATAAATAAATTCCTACTAATAGCCCCCAAATCTTTTCTTAGTGGCGTAAAACCAGTCCCATCCCTTTATTTGAGCTCCCTAAAATGCCAGGTCCCCCATTAGGCAGGTGAACACAATAGCAGGATCCAGGCCTCCTGTGCCAGGTCCTGGCAGAGCCCCTGGCACCTGGTAGGCTCCCAATCTTTAGTTGACTGTGTGGGAAAATAGTTTGTATAAAGTTCCTTTCCACTAAGACACTGAAACTGGGGCTCTTTAAAA